CTCTCTCTCTCTCTCTCTCTCTCTCTCTCTCTCTCTCTTTCTCTCCCTTTCTCTCTCACTCATTCACAGAAAGGGGAACGGGTAGGATAAAAAGGTAGGGAGGGGTGGGTGAGCCGAAAATGTATTTGTCGAATGCATCTGTGAGAGCAAGAGGGGGACACTCATGAGCCCCAGAGTGAATTATTCTTGTGGTGTTATGTTCTTATGTATTGTAAAACCCCAAAGAAATTAGAATAAAGGCTCCAATGAAGCCCAAGGGGTTTTAAAAAAAGGGAGAGGTGGTTGTCAGGTTGTGCCACTGTTGGATGTTTCAATTGCAGTTGCATATATTTCTATTGTCTGTGTCCCTTGGTCTTATTAAGTGAAAAATATAATCCAGTTCCATCGGTTCTGATTATGAGTCAACGTCTCTCTCACTGTGTGTTTGTGTGTGTTGTATGTGTGTGTGTGTTTGTGTGGATGTGGGTGGGTAGAATGAATGAATGAATGAATGAATGAATGAATGAATGAATGAATGAATGAATGAATAAATGCACCTGACAATCTTGTCTTTGTGATGCTCTCGGATGACCCGATCGATCTTCGACTTGAAGACTGGGGCCGTTCAGGCTATTTTGGTCGTGGCCTTTTTCCCTATCCTATTAAAGCCAGTCGGAAATAGCGCCAGATCTTCTCCGTCTCTTGTGCGCCGTCCTGGTGGGCTCCTTTTGTCTGTCTGGGACTGCTGAGCACGAGGGAGTCATCATGTCTGGGACTTGGACCGCACCAAATTTTAAAAAGAAAAAACAGAAACAAAACCAACTCTCCCCCCCCCCCCAAACAAAGCAACAACAAAATAAATATGCATAAAATTAGGAAGCCTGAAAAAGGCCATGGGCGGGGCAGAAGAATAAAAGGGGAGGGAGGGGGGAGTTGGGGTGGGAGGATCCAAACGTTGTCTGTTCGCACGAAAAATGATTAACGTAATCGTTTGTTGGCATGTTTTCTGCACCTGTCTGTTCGTCCGTCCGTCCGTCCGTCCGTCCGTGTCCACCCCATGCGGGAAATCGATTGAGGCTCTTTTCCTTCTAACGGACGTCGTTGTAAAGTAATATATTTACCCGATGGTTGGAGGGGAGTGTGCCACTGAAGATTTCCTTTCCTTACCTTTCTCTGCCCAGCGGCTGCTTCCGACTGACTTCAGTTTGACAAGTGTTATAAG